GCAAGTGTCTCGGTGGAAGGTAAGTTCCCAAGTCCTGAACTTCCATCTTGAGAAAGAGCTCTAACGCAATAACAGTTCCGCTCGCAACTTCATGATCTACCAGCGCGGTACCAAGCAGTCCTACCAGAAGTGGGCAGATGCCATCGGCGATGATAGCTACACCTGGGATTCCCTTCTTCCGTACTTCAAGAAGAGTGTCAAGTTTACCCCGCCCGGCCCTACTCGCTTCCCCAACGCCAGTGCAGAGTACAACCTTGACGCTTTCGATGCTGGCGGAGGACCCCTTGACGTCTCCTACGCCAACTACGCCCAGCCTTTCAGCACTTACCTCGAGCCCTCCCTCAACGAGATCGGCATTCCCCAGGCCCAGGACTTCAACAGCGGTGAGCTTATGGGTGCTCAGTACTGCTCCGACACTATCCAGCCTAGCAAGCAGCAGCGCGAGTCCAGTCAGACCTCTTTCCTCAACGAAGCCATTGGCCGCAAGAACCTCAAGGTCTACCAGCTGTCTCTGGCCAAGAAGATTCTCTTTGACAGCAACAAGAAGGCGACTGGGGTTGTTCTCACTTCCAATGCTGGCATCACCACCTACACCCTCAAGGCCAACAAGGAGGTCATCCTGTCCGCCGGTGCCTTCCAGAGCCCCCAGCTTCTCATGGTCTCTGGTGTTGGCCCTAAGGACCAGCTCAACAAGTTCAAGATCCCCATCGTCGCTGAGCGCCCTGGTGTCGGCCAAAACATGGAGGACCACGTCTTCTTCGGTCCCACATGGCGCGTCAAGGTCCAGACTCTGACCCGTCTGGCCAACGACCTCATCTACACTGCTGCCCAGTTCGCCTTCGACTACTCCATCCGCAAGATCGGTCCCCTCACCAACCCCGTCTGCGACTTCCTCGGCTGGGAGAAGACCCCTCGCGATCTCATCTCCTCTGATACTGCTGCCATCCTCGACAGCAACTTCCCTGCTGATTGGCCCGAGATCGAGTACCTCACCGCCCCTGGCTACGTTGGCGACTTCTCCAACCTTCTCCTCACGCAGCCCAAGGACGGCTACCAGTACGCCACCATTCTCGGAGGTCTCGTTGCTCCCATGTCCAAGGGCACCGTCACCCTCGCCTCCGCCGATACCAAGGACCTGCCTCTCATCGACCCCAAGTGGCTCACCGACCCCACTGACGTTGCCGTCGCCGTTGCCACCTTCAAGCGCCTGCGCCAGGCCTTTGCCAGTAATGCCATGAAGCCCGTCTTGGCCGATAACAAGGAGTACTTCCCCGGTCCCAAGGTCGAGACCGACACCCAGATCCTCCAGAACATTCGCAACACGGTCATGACTATCTGGCACGCCAGCTGCACGTGCCGTATGGGCAAGTCTGATGACCCCATGGCTGTTGTCGACAAGGATGCCAAGGTCATTGGTGTCAGTGGTCTGAGAGTCGTTGATGCTAGCAGCTTTGCGCTCCTGCCTCCTGGTCACCCCCAGAGCACTGTCTATGTCTTGGCCGAGAAGATCTCTGCCCAGATCTTGGCCGGCTACTAAATACACAGTTGACTTTTGTCCTCAAGAGTCGAGGGATTTGCACATAGATGAGATAATGTCTTTTGGGAGAAGCGATACATACCACAAGTGACACTGAACACTCTAATGTAATAGATGTCTGTAATTATATTGAAATTCATGACGAAAACCTTTCATGTTTAATAACAAACCCTACACACGTTGTTGAGGGACTATTCTTGCTTGCACACCTCCATCGTCGCTCCGACTTACCTCAAGCCTTACGACGAGAAACAGAATGTAACGGCAAGCTCCAGCCGTGCGATCGACCCCTGCCCCAAAGAGTGGATGGATTTCGGGCATAGTTGCCGAGTCGAAACCCACTGGCGTGATCGCCTCATTCGATCAACTGACAGATGTGGACTCTGATTGTCATTTTTGTGGGTTGATCTCGGCAAACCTGTGCAGTGTAACGGTTCCGTCAGTGACCGAATGTGCCACGCCGGAGATCTTGATTACCAATGATTGATACAAGGCCAGTCATGTCTATCTGTAGATTCTCAGAGAAATTGCCGCTTAGTCTCTCCCTCCTTCAGACCCAAGCGACTACCCTGAGTAATAATTATATATAACACATACTGTAACCGCCTTCAACACAAGTCAAGAAATCTCAGGTATCACTACCTACGCCAATATGCTTGTCAGCAACAATCAAGCAGGCTAGCACGGGCTGAGGCTTGGGTTCGCCGCAATGCATGCAGAACCTCAGTTGGAGAGCACCAATTCCTGACTGGCCCCTGTCATCTTGTTGGACGACCTGCATCTGATCTCACCATTAGCAACACCCAACGAATGGCTCTCGGCGAACTTGCTGCACGTGGAATTAATCTTCAACGCTAAGCCGGGGTTACTTCCGTGTTCTGCATCTCATGTCTCCATGTCCCGTCCTCCCAATAGCAGCACATCCGAACGTCCGATGCGTTGATGCGGCGTAGCAAAACGGGACTTATGTCCTACTTAAGAACTCATCTACGAACGTGAATCACCTTGGACTCTTTTATTGCCATCATCGTCTCATTTAGCATTGACAGCCCATCAGTGGCGATTGGTAAAGGCAGTGCATCTTTTTTTTTCTTTATTGCCACGAATACTAGCGGTACCAAGGGTCAAGATGTCTTCACTCATCGGAATCGCTCTTGGCACTCTGTCACTGGTCTCAGCAGCAATCGTACCTACGGGCAACAAGACAACCATCATCGAGAGAGATGTTGTGATTCTAGGCGGAGGTGCCTCTGGAGCTCACGCAGCCGTGAGACTCCGCGAAGACTATAACAAAACAATTGTCGTCGTGGAGAAACAGAACCGCATTGTAAGTGGAAATCAACTAGATCTGAAAAGAGTGAAGAGCCTGATTTTCCACTCAGGGCGGTCACGTCGCAACCTTCACGGATCCCGAGACTGGAAATCCATATGACTTTGGTGTGAACTCATATACAGATTACGGCGGCGCCCGCGACTTCTTCGCCCGCTTCAATATTCCTGTGCAGACTCCAGTCCGACAGGTATTGACTACCACGTATGCCGACTTCAGCACAGGAAAGACTACCAACTACTCCTTACCGGCTACCGCGGACGCTACAGCTGCCCTGAAGGCTTATCTCGAGCAGTGTGAGAAGTACGAATCGTACATTCTTCCCTCCTATGCAAACTTCCCAAATTCAACCGTTGGTGTTCCCGAAGACCTCACCCTCAAATTCTCCGACTTCGTCAAGAAGCACAACCTTGAGGCAGCTGTTCCTCGCATCTTCCAGACCACCGGCCTTGGTTTGGGCAATATCGCCGAACAGACAACGCTGTACGTCATGCAGGGCTTCGGCGCACCCATCACTCGGTCATTCCTGGGCACGGTTGGTTCCTTCGTGCCTGTGTCCCGGCGAAACCAGGACATTTACGATGCAATTGCAGACCTCCTCGGCGACGATGTCCTCTACGCGTCGACAGCTATCAAGACTTCCCGTACCGAGAATGGCGTGGAGGTTCTTGTCCGTGGTCCCGGCGATAGGCAAACACTGATCCGGGCCAAGAAGCTTCTCATCTCTTTTGAGCCTACGATTGCCAACTTTGACGGCATCGATATCAGCGACGAGGAGGCGGCTGTATTCTCAAGGTGGGAATGGACTACCGTCCACGCCGCCATCGTCTCTCACCCTTCCCTACCCATCAGCTACTCCCTCACGAACAACGTTCCTACAAACTGGATCTCCCTTCCCAAGACTCCCTTCGTTGGGCGCATCGATTACCTCGGCGACGACAACTTTCGCGTGCTCATCACCGGCTCCTCCAATTACGATAGCACGCAGGCACAAGCACTGGTCAGGAAGTCCCTGAAGTTGCTAGCTAACGCTGGTACGATCCCGGACCTCGGTTCCGAGCAGCTCAATTTGAAAGCCTGGGCTAATCACGGTGCCGTGAGTCTGCGTGTGCCTGGCGCTGCGCTGGCAGCTGGACATATCACGGAGCAGTACGCTCTTCAAGGCCGGAGAAGCACATACTATACGGGAGCTGCGTGGTCTGCGCAGTTCACCACCATTTTGTGGGAGTACAACAACCAGTATCTCCTACCAAAGCTGCTGGCAGAACTTTGAAAGGTTATGATGTTGCCTCGAACGGCTGTTGAGGAGGAACATCCAGCAATTACCTTATACCAGAAAGCAATGCATAATATCGTTGTCAAAAAGGGCCATGGTCGAAAAGATAACGCTTAAGCTGTTATTCCATCTTGTTGCGAATGTCAACATGAAGCAGGCAGTGCAAACTCCAGAGCTGGGTGGCAATAAAGTCTCTCCGGTACTGCAGATGTCCATGAGTCTCGTCACAGCAACGGAGTGAACTCAATAACGAACCGGTGGGAGTGTTTGCACGCCTCGAATTGAACCGTGGAGTCCGCAAATCTAGCAAGCCCGCAATACCCGGAAGCTCACCACTTTCTACTGCCCATCTGTCATCTGATGTGGAATCTGCTAAAATTCTTGGGTCGGAGACTTGCTTCAACGGGATTGCATCCCGGGAATCCCTGATGTTGCTGCAAGGAACGAGCCCCAGCTGCATTGCATCGGTTTGGGGCCTCACTCCACCCGCTCACAAGGGCCCCTGATCGAGGACCTTGTCGACAAAAGCGCCAATTTCGGCCGAAGAATTACAGAACATCGACCCATGAAAACATGATTTCATGGCACGAGCTTTCGTCTCATCCGTCAGACCGCACTCGGACATTGACAGATGATGAGTGTGTATGTTAGACTTCAAGATGGTCTTTGCTGACCTGGAGATAATCACGAGTGAAGTGCCTTTGGCGAACCATTCAGAACTTGGTGCGGAGAGGGAAGTCAGTCCACGTATGCGGCATGGCACATACATGTGTACATGTTTCACTGCATGTATAACCAGTTGTTGAATTGTCTATGGGATATCTTTCCAGTATGCCGCTCACAGACGGTTGGAAATGCTAGTCAAGATGTTCAGATCTCCTAGCAAACTCAGTCGTCTTGATGATCCCATGCAAGTTGCTCGACTGGACTTGTATCGCGGTTTCCTCTTCTATGCGCAAGGCCTTACTTCGATCATACTCACTGAGCATTATGCCTGCTGGAGGTTGCATGGTGTGCAGTCTGATCTCGCCCGTTTGTGTACCATATCGTGGATCCAAGGCCCATTCATCGAGTTCGTACTGATCGCTTCTGGTTGTCCCGTCACTGCGGCTGCGGGAGGTGTCGTACTCGAGCGTTCTTGGTCCAGAGCCAGTCTGTTGCGACCGCTTGCCACATGCGTCTGGGAGATGCTGATTATATGCTGATAGGTTGAGTAACTTATTGACAAGAGGTTTCAAAGCCGGTGCGCATGCCGCAATGATACCGACCTGCAACTGCAGGCTAGGTGAGGTGCGAAAGCACTATTAGCTTCGAGCCACTGAGCAAAAGTAATTGTACCTACAAGCCCCAAAATTGAATACTTCTGTTGAAAGTTTTGTCAGGCTCGCTGTCGTTGTTGAGCTGGTATACTGCTTTGACTATGCCCATCGCGACAGCACTTGGGGTTCCATTAGTCACAGGAGTCGAGCAATCATGACTTCGAATCATTGGATACTCACAAGTATCCTAAGCTCAAGATTCCAATTGCGTAGAGACGGAGTCTGCGCTTCATCTGCAAATTCCATATGATTGGCACAGGCAGGGTGGCTAGAACTACGTCGGTGAAGATGTTGAATCCTGAAAATGGGTGAGCGGCGTTAGCATGACATCGCGGCCATAAGACACAGCAACCTGACTTACCTGTGTTGATGATACCAAACAGATTGATGTTATTGCCATCCTTACACTTTGGAGGCGGTGTCGTGTTCCTGTCCCAGAATCCTGACAGGGGTTTGCAGTGAAGGAAGAACGGAAACATGCCGCCAATCGAGTAGAATAAGACAAGAGCTTAGTCGGACCGTCAGTACTTGACGGAAGAGGCCGACGAATGTGATTAACCTACCAATAGTTGACCATAATGCCCACTTATACCATCCAGTCTTGCTCAAACGCAAGAGACTAAGGGCGATAGAGACCTTCGAAACATGAGAGCGCCGGCGGCGGAGATGATCGACTGCCAAAAGGCGACGTGGTTGAACACGACGTAGTCATACTTCTTGTCGATGGTCGAGAAGTGTTTGCCAAGACCATATTGCGCTTGAATAACGAATGAGATCCATCCTCCCCAGGCGCAGATCTACACACTCAACCAAGTCAGTCTCTGCGGGCAGCAAGATTGGAGCTCGATGCGATGTACTTGCCGCCGATAAGACCATGACCGCATCATCCCACCCAGGCGCCTTGATGACCCATATTCTGGCATATATCCGCAGCGCAACGCTCGTCTGCGCCAGGAGATGAAAAACAGTTACGACAGTGATGATGCGGGCGGTGTTGCTCTCAGCGACCCATGCCGGATTCATGGGCGTGGGAGCCGTTCCGTTTGTTATGTTCATGTCTGCCCATTATAGGTCGTCGCGAGTGGTGTCCTCTGCAGATTGCCAAGGTGGCGACAACCAGTAGAAAAGGGTCTTGTAAGAAGCAGCATGGTCTGTGTGTGTGTTGGAGTACCGACGGCAACTATCGTTGTCAATCAATAAGTGAAGCGAACGCGAGTTGGTTCAAAGAAACTTTGAAGGTGAGGAAACTTTGAACTATTTGCGGCAATGTCCAACAAGCGGCGGTAGTTTAAACTTGCCGGGAACCCTCTTAGAGTTGGCTGTAATAGCCTATTCAACCCCCTGGCCGGAGAATTTTCTGATTCATGGGTAGGGCCACATAGCACGAGTTACGGGTAGAAGTTGAATGAGATACACCACATATCAATCTTTATCTCCATGCGTTTGAATGGCTTGAGTTGATATTGGCACTTTGGCATTGCTGCATAACAAGTTTGGGCTCATTCGATTTTCCATCGACTTAATTTCTTCATAATATCTCCGTTATGTCTGACTCTCTGGCAGGCTGCGCGTTGGTTGTTGTGAGTAACACGTGCAGGGGAATTGAACTGGGTTGGCTGGAGGTGGGGGGTTGACGTGATGCCCTCATTTAGTCAAAAGCGCGACCCTTTTTTTCAAGAAGCACCGTCCGTTGTAGTCGATGGCCGAGCGGTATGATTCTCGCCCTGAGTGGTGAGAGCGTATGTTGGCTCACGGTCCTACATAATGCCATGGACAGCTTTTTTTTTTAAACATTCTTCATCATAGTAATTTTGGTGCAGAGCAATGTTACCACGTCTTACCTGCGTATTCATATTTGTACCTTTTTTCGTGGAATACGAGGACACTTTCAGAAGGTAGCAAGTTCGAGTCGAGAAATCCTTTCCTTTTTTGCCCTCTCCCTCTACGGGAAGAGAACCGGTGGGAATACAAAGTGTTCCAGGCTTTCAGCATGAACATCCTCAACTGCACACTGAGGCATTCATCATACAATTATGAGACGAGTTCCCAGACTATTTATCACCTTTGGTCCTTCGATTGGGAAATAGTATGTGATCTTGTCATTCATATTATGGTAATGTGCAGTAAGCAATATGTACATCAGAAGCAGACTAAACCCGAGCAGGAAACATTATACGCAAGTCCAGCTATCGGGAGAGTTGGGGTCTCCAGACTTGTACACGTTACGCGTGGGATACTTGCAGTGCTTCCTCGTGAAAGCAACCTGGCCGCCCTGCGTGCCATTGACAAAAGCAGTGCCGAGGATCGAATCCGGCGCGACGCCCTCTTCAACCCACCGAACAATGGCGGAGAGAACATTGCGCTCGGGCTCGAATCCGGCAACGGCAGACTCCTTGTTGCCAATGAAGCTGGCGCCGGGACCGCCGCTGCAGTGGTTCATGCCCGAGATGCGGAAGTACCGGTAGAACTCGTCGAGCTGCGCGGACGTGAGGCCCATGGTGCGCGAGACGTGGTTGTAGTAGCGCGCGCTGTTGTCGCTGCTGATGATGGGGTCCTGGAGCCCGTGGTAGTGCAGCACCTTGGTGCCGCGGTCCTTGACGCCGGAGAGGTCGCCCTTCCAGGTCTCGATGCCACCGGGGTTCTGGGCGGCGGCGGCGGCGAAGTCCTTGGGGCCGATGGTGGCCGGGTCCCAGGTCGTGTCGTTGTAGATGACGTTTTGGAACCAGTCCGTGGTGTAGGGGAACGCGCGACCGGCGAGCAGGATCTGGGTGGGCTGGGCACCGGGTTGGAGGCGGGGGTAGACGAGAGTTCCATCCTGGCCGTACAGATCGGAGAAGACGGTGCGGACTGTCTGGGCCTGGATGCCGGTCAAGCAGTTTGCCGTCTGGTTGGCGCCGCAGATGAGAGACTCGGGGCGGTACTGGCACAGGTCGGGGTCCTCGATGATGCCGTCGACCTGGCCATCAAGACCGTCGCACTGGTTGAGAAGGTCCTTGTAGACGAGAGTCCAGAGATCCGCCGACAGGAAGGTCGGCTTGTCAGAGGTGCCGGTGGCGGTGAAGAAGTGACCGCTCCAGGACGTCAGGTTGTTGAAGGCGAAGGCGGGCGCACCAGCCACGATACCGTCAAAGTCGTCGGGGAAGTCTTGGGCTTCCTTGAAGCCCTGTCTGCCGCCAGTCGAGCATCCAAGATAGTACGACTTGGTATGCTCCTTGCCGTACAGGGCCTTCGTCGTTTCCTTGCCAATGACGACGCCGGTGTGGAGGGATCGGTAGGCAAAGTCCTCAATGGTGCCGGGGTTGTTGAGGAAGGGCGAGCCAATGGTGCCGTTGTGTCCATTGTTGGCGCCGACTGCAGCGAAGCCTCGTGAGACGGCGTAGGCAATGTCCTCGTATTGAATACATCCGCCAGTGCCTCCATTGCCGGTGCTCAAGAAACGGCCGGTCCAGTTGGACGGAAGCCATGCCTCAATACTGACGTTGCTGATGGGTCCGGTAGTGGTCAACATGGACACACGGCAAATGTCGACGGCGACGACTTGACCAGGGCGGGTACATGTCGGGTGGTTCTCTGGGAAGGTGATGTTGGTTCCGGCAGAGACGGGAGTGGAAAACCAGACTGTGGTGTTTGGGAGCTTCAGATTGTTGGCGAGGGCACTACAGTCGTCGGCGAAAGCGCTCATGACGTACTGAGCCGCTGGCACCAGCAGCATCGCAGAAAGGTTGACGGACTTCATGTCGGCGAATGGGCGTTGAATAGGACAGATTCCAAGGTCCATTCGAGACTGGCGGTCCACTATGCCCAAGTGTCGAGGCTCAATGGCTTCTTTTATAATGGCAATGGAGTAATATGTACTGTAGTTGACCTGGTATCCAGAAGTAAGGTAGTCTCCAATGTGACGATGCCAGGCCGTTCATCTCAACACAACCCTGGCAAGAAGACTAGTAGCAAATCGATGCCCACCCTCGGCGATCCCCTCGGGTGGCGTGCCGGTCGGCGTGGAGTGACGGCAGTTAGCCACGGCATGACTGGACAAGACGACCTCCCAGACAAAAGCAAACACTGGGCGGTCTATGCCTGATTCAAGGCGAGCATCTGAAAGGGCTCTGACAGCAACAGAATGAGGCATAGTGACCTGCCTTTTTCTCCCCACACTGGTAGACTACACGTGTTAGCTTGAGGGGATAACCATGCATCGGCAATGGCGAGTGCGGAGAAGGCGACCAGGTTGGGGTATGCTCTCCGGGGGTTGATCGCGGCGGAAAAGTCTTCTACCGGGCAGAAAGCAGGACTCGTCATGTTCACTCTGTGGCTTTTGCTCATGTGAGCAAGAGTCGTGTCACTTCACTTTGCTCTGAAGCGGAAGTTGGGCCGCGCGCGGCAGGCAAGGAAGAGAAGAGGAATCAAGAGCCAGTTCAACTCTAAAACTGTGATGAAGCTTGTTTGGATAGTGGAGGCGTTTGCTGACGAGAAGAGCGGAGAGTGGAATTAGCGTAGCCTGCGCGATGGGGAAGAACTGGAGAAGCGCATTTCCCCAGTGTCACTAGATGCAAGGAGACGCTTCTCCACGTGCGGGGAGACGCCGGTTTACCCGGGGGCTGGGTAGTCTGGGCCTCGGAAACCCAACGTTGGTAGCGTTGGTAGAGTTAGTGTGTGATGAGCTGGAAATCGTTCTCCCAAGAGAACGGAAGGTCGTTATTGAGCACCGGGTTGTTGAGTAATCGTATCCGTACGGATATCTACACAACTCGAGAGAAGTGTAATTTGTGTGTTTCGAGAGCTTCAGAGATCACCGTACGGGTGTTCCCTCGTTGTTTCTCTTGCGGACCCATCCCATTTGCCTCTGTGAAAAAGTTTGATGTTTCAAGAGTCAGGACTTTGAACAAAACACGCAAAAATCCGCTGACAGAGGCCTTCAGATCGTTCGAGTCGCGCGGCGGCCCGACAAGCAACACCCATGCACCTGACGGTGCCTCTTTCGTTGCAACCATTTGCGGGAGTCCCTGTAGATCTGGCCCTCTCGAACTCCTTGACACTGACAGTTCTCTAGTACGGAATCAATTTGTTTCCTTTAGCTGATTTCTTGCTTATGGATCCTACCTGCATACGCGTCCAGATGGCCTTTACTCCCCTTAATATCGAGAAACGAATGACGTTCACAGCGGCCTGCCAAAACGAGACGTGTGTGAGGGCTATACCTGCGGCATTATCTTCGGCGTCATCTAATATTTTTGTCCATCTACGACGTTGCACACATGACACCTTGGCATTCCCCAAATGGACACTTTTGGATTTCTTTCAACCACGGATCATGAGGTTTTAGACATAACCCGTGCTGGCTTCCCGAAGATTTAGTGCAGAGGGGTATTTGGGGTTTCGGCACGCTGCGTGACTTAGCTGCATGATGTTTTGCGCCCCCAAGAGGGGGGAGTTGAGCCGTGAGGAACGCAAAGTCCGACTGACTCGGAAAACCCGGCGTCCATGTCATGTCCCTTCAACAATCTCTCTCATCTGGGGACCCGCCTACCGAAGCCAAGTCGGCGCAGCCGTCGATCATCACTTCCAAGCCATAGCGATAGAGTGAGGCACTTTGTCTCTTTCGGTCCGTTGATACAAGGGCTATCGCAGACTTTACACTGCGGAAGATTCCGCCTGCTTGTCAGTCATCCGATCGAGAGAAGAATTTGACGCTTTGATCACCGCTCCTGGCACCACTGTAACGCTCCGTATGGAGACGCGACCGGAGCAGAGTAGTCGTCGATATCCAGTGCACTACAACAGTAGCCAAGAGATAACACGTAATAATGCCGCCTACAAATCCGCTGTGTTATGTCCGTAAGGATAACCTCCGACTAGATCTCGGACCCGATGACGCGGAGCTAAAAGATGTGTTAGTACTAATCGTAGTCCCGGCCGGCAACCATGATGCCGGGTTTCCGCCTTCTATTAGCGCACCCACACAAGCAGTTGGATTAATCGAGCGCTGCGATCGTAGTCGCTGTCTCTCCCTTCAACCTGACGTCTTGAAGCACCCTTCATCGACCAGCAAAAACACTAACACACGTTATCAAGAGTGTTGAATGGGTCATTTTAATGATGCTCTCAGCAGCCAATGTAGCGGTCCGAAAGACAACCCGCGCGAAGGTTTCGGACCGAGCCACAACTCCGCAGTAGCTTTCTTCATCGACTCACTCACTTCCATGCCAGAGAGAAGTCTATGTACTCCCTAGCACCTCGTGCTCTTCACAAATGAGGATCATGGCGAAGAAGTCGGACGACAGGCTAAGTAGGTACTTCGAGCCAGTTCATCTTTAGAGTCAGAGTAGCAGTCGGATTGAGCGAGAAGCTTTATCCAAACTCATGGGAAATTTGTCAAATTTCAAGAATCTTGAATCTCAGCTTTAAAGCCTGGGTCTTGATTTGTGAACCCTCACTTGTACCGAGGATAGTTTCCCACAAGCCATCTCTAACATAGTGTCAGGCCCAGTTCCGATCACCACATCATGGACACGAACGTATCAACCACATCAGCCAATTGGGCAGATTTTGCGACCCTCAAGCTATCCTCATCACTTCCTGCGTCCAACTCTACCCTCTATTGGCTAGCCTTACTCGTGATAGCTTCAGTCATCGCAGCACCTCTTCGACACAAGTTCCAAGATGTCGAGATCTACCCAGTCATCAACAAAACTAAGGAGGAATACCTGACAGGCGGGAGAGCCCTCCTCGCCAAGGGAGCCGAGAAATATGGCGGCAAGCCGTTCAGAGTCTTCACCGGCCAGGGCAGCACCCTCACGGTCCTGGCGCCTGAGTTCTGCCACGATGTGAAGAATGATAACCGTTTGAGCTCGACCGAGTTCCTCCTGGCCTACTGGCAGGCCGGGACACCGGGGTTCGAGCCGTACTTTAGCTCAGGAAGCGAGCTCATCCGTGAGATGATCCGAACTCATCTCACTCAGAGTGATGTTGGTGAGTCTTTAGGACCTGGCCAGTCTTACAATGTGCTTATTTAGGCCGCGCAGCCAAATTATCACAGCCGCTCGCAGACGAGGCAGCCAACGCTCTGAAAGACGTCTTCACGGACAACGAAGGTACATCTCACCAATCATCTCACACTCTTACTTGAGATACTCATGTCCTCTCTAACACCACCTCAGAATGGCACGAAATCACTCTCGCCCCGACAATCGCCCAAATCGTTGCCCGCGTTTCCGCCCTAGTCTTCCTCGGCCCCGAACTCTGCCGCGACCCAACCTGGCTCACCATCACCATAAAATACCCCCAAAAGGCCATGGCCGCCGCCAAAGTCCTCCGCTCCTACCCGGCCCCCGTCCGCCGCTTCGTGCACTGGTTCCTCCCCTGCTGCCGCGAGCTGCGCCAGATGCTCCGAACCGCGCGACAGGCCATCGAACCGATTCTGCAGAAGCGTAGAGAGCAGGAGGCGGAGAAGGGTGGAGTGGTGTTTGATAACGCGTTGGCGTGGATCGAGAAGCTGGCCAAGAAGCAGCAGGATCGAACGGCGCAGAATGCGGCGTTTCAGCAGCTTGGGTTGTCGATTCTCGCGAATGCTTCGAGCACGGATATGGTATCGCAAAATTTGCTGGATTTGTGCGTGAATCCGGAGGTGACGGAGGCGTTGAGGGAGGAGATTGTGAGGGAGACGAGGGGTGGGTGGAAGAGCTCGACGCTGTATAATCTGAGGCTGTTGGACAGTGTGTTGAAGGAGACGTTGCGTCTCAAGCCCATTGCGTCGGGTCAGTAACCTTACTCGGCTACGCATTGTGTCATTGCTAACTTGCAAACAGTGGCTCTTGGGAGGCGCGTGATGGAAGATGGCGTAAAATTGAGTGACGGCACCGTGCTGCCCAAGACGACCGGCGTTGCCGTATCCTCCGCGAACATGTGGAATCCGGTAAGACACCATCTCTTGTTGACGGTCCATACCAATCAGATCGCTAACGTCCTCAACACAGGAGATCTATCCAAACCCAGAAATCTTTGACGGCCGACGCTTCCTCCGAATGCGAGAGGGCGGTAACAACGAACACAATGCGCAGCTAGCGAGCGTGTCGCCGGAGCACATGGGCTTCGGGCTCGGCGCGCACGCGTGCCCGGGCCGCTTCTTTGGCGCGAGCTCTGCGAAGCTGATCATGTCGCACATCTTGCTTGACTACGAGTTCAAGTTGGCTGAGGATGTGGACAAGAGCAGTGTTGAGCCGATGCGTTTTGGGTTCTCTACTCTAGCGAATCCTAGGGCCAAGATCCTGATCAGGCGTCGGAAGAATGTCGTCTAAGGTACGAAGGGAGACTTTATTGCGGCTTGCGTGCTGCGGATATGTGGTGTAAAAGGCATGACAACACGGCCAGGCGGCGAGGCTATTGGAACTACCGCCTCGCTGAGTTGACCCGGTCAAAGGCCTCGTCCTGAAACAATCATGTCATGAAACCAGTAGAGACAATTAATCGCCTGGAAATCAGAAACAGCCCAGCATGATCACTGAGTCTACTTCGAGTGGAAAGCATGCGCAATATCGAGAAACCCGGGACTTCGGCTCGACGAACAGCGATGCGAAAGCGAGAAACTTCTCGTCAATAAGCTTCACTTTTGGGTAGCACCAATACCACGTAGCCAAGCAAGATATATTGTTTCCCAAATTGATCGCGGAGCCTCTGAGCAGTCAAACTCCCAAGAACGGGAATCTCCGCCCAAGCGATTGGCGGAAGAAGTTTCCGCGATGAGGACTGCATGGCGGGGTTGGCTATGGCCCGGAAGTTCAACCATCATCGGAGGGGGTAATTGTTGCTGCTCTTTCTCGATACCTCATTGCCTTGAATACGGCTGCAAGCTGGAATTCACAGCCGTCTTTCCAAGGAGTCTTCCCGCGGATACCTCCGAATAGAGTTGACTGTATTTGGGAATTGAGGCCCGCTGTCCGCGATGGAGGGGTAGGGAGCAGCCGCATCTCCGGCCTTGACTACACACACGTTCTCCATAGGTGAGGGATGGCCAACGGAAGGATAGGGCAGGTCTGCAGGAACAGGGACAAAAGCTTAGTAGCTGGGGCCGTACATCAATGAAGCACTCGAAATGAAAAGAATGGTACGGATGCGGCCGAGACGTGGCGGGGGATGTGCAAGCCTGATCGACGCGATGTCACTTGGCCACGGATACGGAGGCTTACGATCCGGCGCGCCCTTTGAAGCAGGCCATGTCTGCAGAAAACCTGCAGGACGAGACTTGGCGATGAATAGATAAATCCTCAAAAGAAGCCTCATCACGGACCCTTCGAAGTGAGATGTTCGTGGTTCACCCGCTCATCCCATCAACCCATCACCGAGATGAAGTCCATCCTAGGCATGGCCCTCTGGGCCCTAACCCTCCTCAACCTCGCCCTCGGCGCCGAAGTCGTCCCCCGCGCAACCTTCACCGAGGTGACAGACTACGGTTCGAACCCGACAGGCACGCGCATGTGGCTCTACGTGCCGCAGAACCTCGCCGCCAAGCCCGCCGTCGTCGTGGGCGTCCACTGGTGCAGCGGCAGCGCGCAGGCGTATTACCAGGGCAGCCAGTGGGCGCGGTACGCCGAGACGTACGGGTATATCGTGATCTACCCGCAGACGCCGTACACGCGCGACAACTGCTGGGACGTGGCGAGCAAGATGACGCTGACGCATGGCGGGGGCGGCGCGAGTAACTCCATTGCGAATATGGTGAGCTTCGTGATTGCGCAGTATGGGGCGGATAAGAGCAAGGTGTATGCGACTGGTATCTCGTCCGGTGCCATGATGACGGTATGTCTTGATTTTTCCTCCGTGTTGTGAGGCAAGACTTCTAACATTGCGATTCTTGTGCCTTGAAGAACGTCCTCGCGGCGACGTACCCCGACGTCTTCGCAGCCGGCATCGCCTACGCGGGCGTTCCGGCCGGGTGCTTCATGTCCGCGGACGACATCCCCGACTTTTGGAACTCGACGTGCTCGACGGGCCAGTCCATCTGGACGCAGCAGCAGTGGGCCAACGTCGTGAACAACATGTACCCCGGGTACACGGGGGCGCGGCCCAAGATGCAGATTTATCACGGCGCGGCGGACGAAACGTTGAACGTGCAGAACTACTACGAAACGATCAAGCAGTGGACGGGGGTGTTTGGGTACTCTGCGACGCCGCAGTCGTCGGTGGCGGACTTTCCTAGGAGCCCGTATACCAAGTATGTGTTTGGGGATAAGTTGCAGGTGAGTTTTGATGATATGGACACTGGTCGAGGGCCATCTGGAATGACTTTGATATGTAGACTTTCTTGGGTACGGGTGTGACCCATTCGATTGATGTGTTTCCGGAAGAAGACCTCAAGTGGTTCGGTTTCGTGGTGAGTCTGGACGGGAGTGAAGTTCCCACGTAGACAAGCTGACTGTTGCTGTAGACACCGGTGAGCTCGTCGGCTGCTGCGACGGTTCCTGCGACGACGAGCCGCGCATCTACGACGCTGCGGACTTCCACGGCGGCAGCGACGACCACCACGGCAGCCGGAGGATCCGGGACGGCACCTCAGTGGGGCCAGTGCGGCGGGATTAACTGGACGGGACCGACTGCGGTGAGTTGCCACGGTGTGATGATGAGCTGAGTGCTGACATTATTGGGATAGTGCGCGAGTTCGTTCACATGTGTCAAGGTCAATGACTGTGAGTGTTGATGATGCTTCTGTGTGTTGATTTGAGTGTGCTAATAGGTGTGAAGGGTACTCTCAGTGCCAGTAGTGGCGCGAAGTGAGCATAACAGTTGAGTTGATGATTACGCTGAGCATCACCAGGAAAGGGTCATGAAGGTCGGGTCGAGATGCAGATTGACGAGGATGAGGAATGCTGATGAAAAACAAAGAATCCCCTGTTTTCAGCGTCGAGGTCGAGGTCTAGACTTCTAGAAGCCAGACGAGAAGAGAAGTAATGAGCATTCAGCTGGCCTTAGCTGTTCTCTCATGATGCTGCTCGCAGGCGTACGGTGCACGTGTTGTCCTGAATTGATGGTGAGGTTGTGAAGATGGAATGCGACGGGGTCTGCAAGCGGCCGTGCAGCAGCGAGGTCGCCCATCTTATGATGCTTTTCCCATTGGAAGGGGGCGATTGAGGGTCCAGGTAGTCCAGGTCTCAGATTTGAGAGAGAAACCCTTTCCGCGAAACATGAGCATTCCAGTGGTATAAAAGCGAACATGTGTCTCGGCAGAGGGGGACCGCGATGAGGTCTTGGTCTCACAGTCTCACTTGAGACTGACGGAATAAGACATTGGCCGATGAGTGAAGAAGTGTTCTGAATGACACCATTTGGTGTTTCATTCGATCGGTCGGCGAGTGAGTGAGTGAGCAAGCGACTACCGTGGTAGGTGACTGAGTGCACGAGTGAGTGAGTGAGGCTATTCCCGGCAGTCCAAGATCTAGTGTATCAAAACAAATTCACGTGGGTCATTGAGAGGCGACGATTTGGTCATAATATTGTCCATACCTGGATGGCATGGACCACGTGATGTTGACCGCTGGTTAGCATCGGACAAGACCCGATCGTTGCTCGGGCATTGTCAATTGGGCATTGGGTCAGGATCTTTTTTGAATTTCGCTTCGGCAAGCCTGCCAGTCCTCGACTTTTCTCATTTTTTTAGTCTCTTTTTCAAGGGTCCGTCGGGTGGCGTCATTGGCGGCCCCGCTGTGAGATTTCGTGTGAGAACCTGGAAGTGAGAGTGAGCCACGGAGTGAATCTCATACTGAAGAACAAGAGTGACATTGACATACACACGCAACTTCAGAGCAATGCATTTCCAACGCCCAGAATAGCAAGTGTCATGTAAAAGACATGTCTGGGACAGATCCATGATGACGAGCAATCTACTGCAGACCGAGACAGGTCTGTGAAGGGTAACGTGATCTCGTGTCTCTCCCCTGGGCCCCTGTCTGAGCTTGGTGTCTCGCCCCACAAGGACCGTGAGGGAAGTCCAAGTGTCGAACTCTTTTCTTCAGTCCTGGACTCTTGTCATCACTCATTCGCGACTTTCAATGTGGTCACTCACCGCCATAACCTGGCGGCAATGCCTCTTGTCCGGGGGTCCAGCATTGAACGTTTACATCTCCACTGACTGGCAAGTTTGTGTGGTGCGTGGCAGGGTGAACAGTTGGTCAAGCTAGGCGCCCCTCCTCAGGCTCCTCTGGTGGCCATTGGTGCTGTTCTCGCGGCCCCAGAAGTCGCGCTTGTTCCTGCGGACTGACGTATCGTCTTCTCACGATCCTTGGTCTCACGGGTGAGTGTGGAGAGTGAGAGAGGAGCAGAGAAAGTGAGAGTGAGAGGGACAGTAAGCCCCATACGGCATAGCTCCTAATCGGCTGCATCTGCAGTACTTTCGAACTGGGTCTTTCCTGTGTTCCCGCTCTTCTCTCGTTGGTTCTTTTTCTTTTCCCCTTTGTCTCTTCCCCCACCCCCGCGATAGACGACGACTTCACACAACTTCTTCTCTCCACCATCGTCTCGCCTCTTTTCGCCCAGTCATCCCATCCATCACAAGTATTCCTCTATTTCTTTTTCCAATTGTGTACTCTTCGACCCATGCATGAGTCCGCAGTGGGGTCCGCAAGCGGCTCGAGCTTCACCAAGTCAAGTGTCCACACCAAACATTGACCGACCTTGAAAAACAAACGTTGAAGCTTTTCACACTTTCTTCCCATCCTCTCCAATTCCCATTTCCCCACGATCCCATGACTAGAGCTGCGACCGCATCCTCGTAGTCCGCGAGCCCAAACATCCAAACTTGAACCGAGGCAACCCTTCCTCAGAGTTCGGCTCTCTTTCTCTCTCTCTCCACCTCTTCTACATCTTCCTTCATCGTTTCAATTGCATCTTTGCATGGCCCGGGGATGCTCACAAGCATAGTCTTGACCTCCAATTTCTCTTAGTCCCCAGCATCCGTCGTGGTTGTTTACCCCAATTCCTTCCACCACTCTCAACAGCATCACCACGACATCATCATAGACACCACCTCTGATCAGCATCCCCCCAAAAAACATCCACCGCCATGTCCGACACACCCTCATCCACAGAGGACCGCTTGCGCAGTGCCGTAATCGCAAATCACCTCCCCTCGGGATACGGCACAAGCTTCGACGGCACACGAAACCTCTCCAACGGTGACCTCGCTCACATCAACTCCAATTCCGCCCCGAACCTCCCCGCCACCGAAAATGACGACGGCGACAACGTCGAGGAGGCATCCTCTCTGTTACTACCCGGCGGCGACATGCATCGCGACCTCTTCAAGATTTCGGCTAGGGAACAAACCTTGAAGCGCGCCCAGACTTTCTCCCACCCGCGCCGCACCGAGTCCGGCCACGAATCCGACCTGCCCGCCGCCGAGATGCTTCTGCCCCAGGGCTTCCGCCGCCAGTTTGTCATGCAAAAACACAACTATACTGCCGCTACACTCCCCATTACCCGCAATTTTGTCGAGTTCCTCGACTTCTACGGCTCCTTCGCCGGTGAGGATCTTGCCGATTCAGACGAGGAGGCCATCGTCTCGGACGACGAGGACGAAGAGGAGGCACAAGACAGACCCCGCGGTGCACCTACCGAGACCCGGCCGCTGCTGGGAAGACGGCGGTCCTCGCGCTTCGCCAAGAAGGCCGGCGATGCCAGCACCACAAAGACGTTCTTCACAACCCTCAAGGCTTTTATTGGCACGGGCATCATGTTCTTGCCCAAGGCCTTCAAGAACGGCGGCATCCTCTTCTCCTCTCTGACCATGCTCGTCGTGGCCGCCATCTCCATGGTGGCCTTCCACCTGCTCCTGCAGTGCCGCACCCGGTACGGGGGTGGTTACGGTGACCTCGGCAAGGAGATCTCGGGCCCTCGCATGCGCTCCCTCATCTTGGCGTCTATCACTCTGTCCCAGATTGGCTTCGTTTGCACGGGTCTCGTGTTTGTGGCCGACAACTGGTTCTCTTTCTTGAAGGCAGTCACGGGCGGCGCGAATCCCCTCGACTCAACCGCCCTCATTGCTCTGCAGGCCATTGTCATTGTACCCCTCGCCTTCATCCGCAACATCTCCAAGCTCGGCCCCGCTGCCCTTCTCGCCGACGTCTTCATCATCATCGGCGTAGGATACATCTGGTGGTACGATATCTCGGCCCTCGCTACCCGCGGCATGGACCCGTCCGTCAAGCTCTTCAACCCGAGCTCCTACACCCTTACTATTGGCGCCTCCATCTTCACGTTCGAGGGCATCGGCCTCATCATCCCCATCCAGGCCAGCATGAAGAAGCCCGAGCACTTCGAGCCCCTGTTGGCGGGCGTCATGCTCCTCATCACCTGCGTCTTCACCTCGGTCGGCGCCCTCTGCTACGCGACGTTCGGCGACCGCACAAAGATTGAGATTATCGACAACTACCCGCAAGACAGCCGCCTCGTCAACGCCGTGCAGTTTATGTACGCCCTCGCCGTCCTCGTCGGCAACCCCGTCCAGCTCTTCCCCGCCATGCGTATCATCGAGACCAAGATCTTTGGCTACCGCTCGGGCAAAAAGGATCTCCTGACAAAGTGGAAGAAGAACGCCTTCCGCACCTCCCTCGTCGCCCTCTGCATCGCCATCTCCATCGCCGGCTCCGCCAACCTCGACCGTTTTGTCGCGCTCATTGGATCATTCGCGTGCGTGCCCTTGGTCTACATTTACCCGCCCTACCTGCATCTCAAGGGCATCGCCGAGACGAGAAACCAAAAGATTTGCGATTACGCCCTCATGGCCCTTGGCCTTGTCGGCATGGTGTACACCACCGCTATCACCGTGGCCACCAGCTTCCTGTAGAAAGCGTAGAGCCCGAGAGTCCAGAGTCACAAGATGTGTAAAGACTTGACAGACTTGAAAAGAGACTTGTTAGAGTAAAAAAGCAGAGAATGCCGGAGCGTTTGAGCTTGTATATGTGTATGTTTACGACCGGAAAACAAAATTAATACAGCGTAGAATTCATGTTCATTCATCTTCTTGTCTACTTTATGCCATGTGTGATGCATCCGATGCCTCTCAACGCCGATAATCAATCCTCCCGCCACCGAATAGACCAATCCCCCTTTGCAAAGCTAGGCTCAACAACCTTTCCCTGTCTAACAGCTTCACACTTTTTCCTCTCCTCGCCATCGCCAACCAGAAACCCAAACACAACCCCCCTTCTAGCAGCACACCTCACCATCTCCCTCTCATGCGCCCTCCTCTGCCCCTCAGCCCTCTTCTCCCTCATCTCCTCCGTCTCCTCAATCCTCTCCGCCCGCCCCTTTTCCCCGCCCACGCTCCCATTCACCTGGCTCTCCGTCTGCGGCGGCCTCACCCGCGTCCCGCTGCGCACAGAGAGGCTCGCCTGCACGCTGGGATCTAGCTCTGTGGATTTGGTGTGGTCTAAGCCTAGCATCTCGTCGATGATATCCCCGCCCGCGTCTTCGTCGTAGGAGCGGCGGTCGCGGAGGGAGATGCCCTCGTCTTCGTTGTCAGAGGAGGATGATTTGGCGGTGATGACGCGCGAGGCGCGGTTTTTGCCCCGGCCGTAGATTTGGTCTGGGGCCTTGCGCTCGCCGAAGAAGGTTTCTTCTACGACGTCGCAGGGTACGAGAATCCGGGTGTCGCCCTTTGTCTTTTTGGGTTTTGTTTTGGCGTCGGTTTGGATTTCCTCCTCGCCTTGCAGAAAGCGGACGAAGACTTGTTCGATTTCCTTGTCTAGACGGCTTGGTTTCTTTGCGCGGCAGCGGGAGGAGCAGTATTTTGCCTCGACGGGGTGTTTTTGGGTTTCGGAGGCTTTGTTGGAGTTTGACGACTTGGAGGAGGATGGCGTTGTGGTCTTGCGGCTGGAGATGACGCGGCCGCAGGTGCGGCAGTAGGGTGTTTGTTCGCCGTTGGGGAGGAGGTAGAAGGGCGCTGGCGTGGCTTGGGATTTGCCTGGTCGGGACCAGGAGTCCATCCAGCTCATTGTTGTGGTGTGGAGGGGTCGTTGCGGGAGATGATGACTGTAGTTGAGGCGTTGGAGGATGGGAGTCGTGGAGATGATGGGAACTCGGTGGGTGACTCGAAAGCTGAGGAGGAGGTGTCGTGGTCGAGGTAGCATGTAGAGGAGAACCGTGAGGACAGCGATGGTGTTTTGAAGCAAAGCGACAAAGAGAAGGAAGCGAGCTTGGGGTTTCGAGGTGGTTGACCAGTGAGCTACGTCATCGATGTCATTCCCCCATTGGCCAATCATCGTCTCTCATTTCATTGTCAGTTATGAGGCGACAACGTGAAGCCTCTGCTCTGTCACCACCAGACTAATTGAATTCGAAAACAAGGAAGGGCACTGAAATTTTGAATGTCTCCGGCTTCCCTGGAATATTTTGAATGCAGACAACTCATATCAAGCTCAATAAATATAGCTCTTGTTGTTACATGCTGCTTACATGCTGTCAGCATAGATGAAAGTGCTCAAGCTGGAAAAAGGTTTTTCATAGCTTTACCTGAAATGATTTAATTCGCACGAAGTAATCAAATCTACCATCTTCTTAGATTGAGAATACCATAGCTGTAATGTTTCCACAGTGAGTATGTATGTTGGCGCCCTCATCCATGAACGAGAGAACCATAGAGCCCTTGATATCAACGGTGGTGAGGCCCAATAGAAGATCACCATCCTCATAGCTTCCCATTATTATTTCTTGAATAAAATGATCAGTTTGTAATTCTAAGTGTACTCTGTTCTTTCCTAAACTGATGTCACTGCCTCTGTAGATAAGCCGGTGGGCAACTCAATCGCCCCTTCCTACTCCACCATGAGGCCCTCCTTCCTCTTGTGCACCTCACCCCCTTCCTTGGACGAAATTTCATCGCCCTTCACAGCCGTCTCTTCCCTGACTTCGTCCGTTCTGCTCCTTCCGTCGGGTCTTTCAGACGGTCGTTCATCACGTGAGGGCGGTTGAACGACCCTTTGAAATCTTCCGGCCCTTCCTCCTCACCAATATATAATGCCACCCTTTCTCCCCGACTTCACCCACCCTTCCTTTCTTTTCTTTCCTCTCCACCCCGACTCAGGTCCTTGACCTTGAGCTCAAAGTGGTTCCCCTCTCACCACCCCGACCGGCTTCTGGAGCCACCATCGGGGGAGTTCTTTCACTCTTTCCATTCCTTGTTCGAATCCTTCGTCCAGTTCAACACGAAGCAGGACGGTAGGTCTTCATCTGCGTTTTCCCCATTCGTCCGAGCAGTCGCTAACGTCATCGCAAGGTTCCCCTTTGGACGGAAGGCTTGGGTCCCTCCGGTCCCTTCTTATGTCTTCTTCCACTCATTCCGAGGTGTTTTCATGAACGCTTCGATGTCTTCTTGAACGCTTTGAGCCCAGCACCAAGAAATTTGTATGTATCTATCCCCTCGTCCCTTTCTTCGTCTGAGATATTGCTAACGCCATCGCAAGTCTTGTCGTCAGACGGAAGAAATCGGCAACTCCTGCACCTCCCCTTCACACCACTCAACACTCTTTGTGAGACAGTTTCTTTTCTTGAATTTCATTGTTCGAACACTTTTTCACCTTGAGAACATCAAGGCAGCCCGTAAGTACCTCATCGTCCGTACCTTCCCATCCTCGTCTGAGCAACTGCTAACTCCATCGCAAGTCTTGATATCGGACGGCGGAGCTCAACAACCCAGAGTTGCTTGCTCGAATACATGCTCCATAACTTGGAGCTGGCTCCAAGCATTCATCACCTGTCTACCAGAGGCACCGAACACTCACCACGCTACGATGGGTCTGCAGCCGATAAGAGGTCAAGGACTGAATGTCCCGAGGCCTCCAAGACCGAGGTGGTACTGGGGGGTGTCGGTGTTGCTCCTTTTTACCACTCCTAACATGTTAAGCCACTGTTCGAATATGGTAAATTCCCTCCTTCTGGCCTCGAAGACATGAATCAGCACTAATCTCTACTCACAATCTAGTTCAAACTACGTCTTTGCCCCCATGGGGAAGACTTCAAACACTGGCCCATTCCCTTCCTCAGACTCCGACGGTCTCTATGTTGTCACTGGGTGGCGGGCACAAGAAAGGCGAGAACATTAAGAGTGGCGTTTACCACAAATTTACGTTGTTCTGAGGAGAGTCTGTTGGAAACACGACCCTGCCCTGGAGTCTTGCTCAAATAATGTTCAAAGAACCAAGTCCAACAGCACTTTCAACCATTCAACAACGGTGGCGGACCTCAAATAGCAGAAGGGGATGCATACTCGCGCCATGAACTCAGCGATCTCCCGACCATCCGTGTGCTCGGAAGGCCATTGCCATCATTGTTTCTTCGCCTACTCCAGGTTATGCTCAGACCGATGCTCGAAACCATCTCAACCCTTTTCAGGGCAATTATGTCGGATTAAGTCGGCGTTCTCCAAGTTGCTCCGGCGACTAGCATTCCAGCGTTGGAGAGGGCCCCCAGTACTATGGTGCCAGGGGGCTACACACACCAACCGCTCCGTTCGGCCAGGGGTTTGGCTCGACAGCTCTCCCAGAAAACGGAGAGTATGAAGACTACGGCAATCTTCCTTCCTTTGCAGGCGGAGATACCAACACTGCTTCTCCTCTTGCCTATGGGCCCGCCACTGCCCACGGGTTCAGCGAGCACCATTGCTACCATTGAGATGGTTATTGCCCGGAGGGATGTGGCCCTTTTTATACGATGGCTGGTGGGGGTTCGGTCGCGAATCCCCTCCAGATATTTCGGCCCAGATACGCCATTAAGAGAAAGCTCGAGCTCGTCATGAAGACACCTTCCGAGGGTCCCCAAGAGAAGTGCCATCGCTTCTTCTTGGGACCAGAGAAAAACAGAGCTCGTGGCCTCATCGAATGGCTCAACGCCCTCTCCGACCGGCCTTGGGAACCACCTCGACCGCCAATGCCAACACTCGCGCGGCTTGGTCTAGTTCACGCACAACTAGATCAGGATATTTTGCTCAAACGATTGACGACTGTCGCACTTTTTACGAATATTTCTTGTTTTTGCCTTCATCGCCTCGCCCATGTGCTCGATGACTACAATCTGCCTCTGCTAGGCGATTTCAATCACTGAGACGAAGAAGCTCGGAATATGTTCAAAAACTTCAGCCCCAGAATGCAGGCACTAGCCTAATTCAAGGAGAGCATGCACATGATGTGGTGGGAAACCCCTCACATGTGTTGCTGTGGATCCATCTTTTGCTCCAACCACCATCATCATTATCCGCTCCACAGCGTACTTCAAATGATCTCCAAAGCCCGGCTGGCCTTGGCTCAAGGATAGTTCCTCTTGTTAAAACAGAGATGCTCGAAGCAGGGCAGCATGACCCAGGTATGTCAACTTCTCGCCCAAGGCCCTCTCTCTTCAAGTGACAGTAAAAGCTGACGTTCTTCCCGCTTGCAGAAAGATCAACCGGCGCAATTTCACCTGTGATCGCCTCTTGCGCAGCACGCGGCTGGACCTTTGCGTCGAAGAACCGGCGCGGCTTTGCCGGTCCCGGGCGTGGATTGCAGCTACATCAATCCTCGTACCGATGAGATCTCTCTTGGCTAAGTCTCGCGTACATCAATATCAGACGGACGATTCCGAAGACGACTTCGATGGTTTCATCAATGCCAAGGCCAAGAACATCAATATCTCTTGGGAGTCGGTAGTAGTTCTTCGAAGGCTTCATCAAGTGGGGAATTCGTCTCTCACGTGAGAAAGCTGCAAAACCATTCATTTCTGTGCTACTGGAATACATCATGAAGACCGAAGGAATGTAGCATGTTCGGATGGAGGAACAATCGTCGCGGAGGAGAATGAGCTGGGCCTATGACCTGCACTGGCAGATCATCTGGGGATCATAGACACACGATGGGATTTGAACAAAAGCAAAGCACAAATGACAACAGCGGATAAAAAGACTAGAAGTGCAAACTGAGAGCAATAATCATATTTGAGGAATCCAAAGGATCATCATTGCAGACCCTCTGTACACATATGGGCAATGACTGAGCGACATCAGGTACTCGCACACTGAAGAGGCTTTTACGAGATCAGTGATTTGATGGTGTCAGAGATGGTTGATCATTGAAGTTTTTGTTATTTTACAGTCGCAACTTGGTATCTTGGCTAGCAGGGTATGTACAGCGATGCGTTGTATGTGAAGGCATGGTATAAATACAAGAAAAACTTTTCCCTTCCAGAGGCAAACGAGCTCAGCTCTTGAAGTGACCTAGCACGTTTACTGTCCAAAGGTGAACTCGGGGATATCAATGGTGGTGACGGTCCAGGTCTTGCCGCCGTCGCTGGTGGACATGTCGCCGGTGACGCCGTTGCCCTTGCCCATGGTGTTGATGTAGTTGGCGTCGGCCTTGTCGAGGATGATCTTGGTGTTGATCCAGGCTATTGGGAGACGTTGTTAGGAAACTGTTCTGATGATGGGTACCGATAGGTACTTAGGGGGTGTAAACTTACAGTGAGCACCAACGGTGCCGCAATCCTCGGCAGCGCACTCAACAGCGCTGCCCCAGCCCTGAGCCTCACCGTCCTTGGTGGACAGGGTGGCGACGACCTTGTCGTTGATGGAGACGGTCTGGGTGTAGTTCTGGGAAGCATCATCGAACTTGTCTGAGGGGTCTCTGTCAGCACCGGCTCGCGACTTTCTAAACGTTCAAGAAGGCAACTTACAGTGCATGGTGATCTTGTCACCCTCAGAGGCGTCGGTGCCCTCAGTCTGAACAGGCATCTGGGAGTTGGCGCCCGTGCTGAGAAGGGTGTAGGCGAAGATGGACCACTTGTCGGTGCCGGTGTTGTCGTAGTTGGAGTTGTCGGCGATGGACTGGATCAGGTCGCCGTTGGAGGTGCCCATGCCGACCCAGAGGGAGGCGCTGCCCTTGTTGTTGGAGGGGGCGGCGGGGAGGACGAGGGTGGAGGTGGCTTCGCGGATGAAGGAGTCGGAGGCGACGGGACCGGTGCTGAAGGCCGGGCCCATGGCGGCCTGGACGCCGGCGACGGCCGTGACGGCCAGGGCGGAGAGCATCTGGGTGGTGGAAGGCATCTTGTCGGTAATAGTGGGTGAAGTTTGAAGTGAATGTTGGTAGTTGGTGAAGTGAAAAGAATG